ATACATTCGCAGACCTTCGGCCTGCGAATTCCTATTTTAACTAATCAAATCCTAGCAAAAACACTTTGCTAGAAGACGAGTTATGCATTATATTAGCTTTAACAATTTATTTGTCAAAATATTCGTCACATAATAAAATTATTAATATATCGCTATTAAATATCATGACTTTTAAAATTAAAATTTATTTAACTACTGTATTTTATATATTAAAAATGTAAATCTCTTTATACATTCGCAGACCTTCGGCCTGCGAATTCCTATTTTAACTAATCAAATCCTAGCAAAAACACTTTGCTAGAAGACGAGTTATGCATTATATTAGCTTTAACAATTTATTTGTCAAAATATTCGTCACATAATAAAATTATTAATATATCGCTATTAAATATCATGACTTTTAAAATTAAAATTTATTTAACTACTGTATTTTATATATTAAAAATGTAAATCTCTTTATACATTCGCAGACCTTCGGCCTGCGAATTCCTATTTTAACTAATCAAATCCTAGCAAAAACACTTTGCTAGAAGACGAGTTATGCATTATATTAGCCTTAGTGTATAACTTATCTTAGCCAATAGAAAAGTAAATCTCCCTATACGTTCGCAGACCTTCGGCCTTTGAACTCCTTTTTTAACTAATCAAATCCTAGCAAAAACACATTGCTAGAAGACGAGTTATGCATTGTATGAACCTTAATGTATAACTTAGCTGAAGGATTACAACTACTCAAAACTTATATCTTTAGTAGCTACTAAATTAATATTAATAAATAATTTAAATGTAATAGTATCGTTTTGCACTAGCAATAGTACAACAAACAAAACCAAAAAAGCAAAATTCTAACAACTTACTGTATGATGCTAAAAATAATAATGAAACTCAAAACTTTCAATAGTATTAAAGTTACGAATAGCAAAATTACATTCACTAAAAATATTAAACTATAGACACAAGAGCTACGGCAACTTTAAAAATAGCTTCTTTGATAGCTTCAATATTACTTCAATAACGACACCATTAGCTATTATTTAAAAAAAAAACAAATAAAGCATTAAATATCAGAATATAAGTAAATAAGCAAAAAAAAAATTATTATTGATGATCGAAATTATTCAGGCTAATTTTGATAAAATACTAGCTAGTTATTAAATTAAAAGTAGCCATGCAATAATATTATACAAAGAAAAAAAGGAAACAAATACTATGATACTATTTGTTAGGACATTTTCGTTTATCATGTTCCTTACTTTTACAAATACTATACTGACAAGACTGACGAGAACTATGGTTTGAACTACCAATAACTAAATATTTGCTTTTTTTTTGTTTTTTCGATTGCTGATTTGATTCGCCTACTGGAAGGACGTCTTTTCCCAACATACTGAACCGGATTCTAAACAATTAGTTGTGTGGTTTCAGTATTTCTCTCATGTTCGAAATTTTGTTCATTTTCCTCATATTCTATAACTTGATTATGTTCTAATTCTGGCCCCTGTTCTAATATTTGTTCTACAGCTTGATTGTTACGTCATAGTTCTTCATGTGTATGTATCCATTCTTTAAAAGTTTTCATTAAAAAATTTGAATCATTTATATCATCATAATTAACCAGTTCTACACATTTACAGGCAAGCCCAAGCAAGGTTCTTTTAATTAACTGCTTACGACCAATTGCTTTTGCTGCAGCTTGCATAGGAGGTTCAATAACTATAGTATTCCATGATTTAGAAACATCTGGAAAAGAGAGAGTATGTAATTCTGAACCATCGTTTTCTGACTTTCCTCTAATGAATGGTTCATCAACAACTAATATATCCATAAATTTATCTTTGTACCAATGTTTTGGAATAAGAGAAATATGAAAGTATGCCTTTTCAGATTGCAAGAGAACACAAAACCAATGATAACAGACAACTCCACTATCAAATAATAAAATACATGTACATAAATGAAAGCCATTCTTTAGCAATACTACATTTTGTCTAGCATGTGACCTATGCTCAATTGATTGAACTTCCCAAACTTCTTCAACTAAAGAATCATCAATTCCCTCAAGAAGTTCGTCAAGACATATCTGACGAAGATCATATTCAAGTTCAATTGGCCCATTTTTAACCATATTTAATGTTAAATTTCTTTCAAATTAGTTTTTCTGCTATAATACATGACTGCTTCATTCATTTGGTCAACGTGTAGTTGTAGAATTTTAGGCATTATATATTTTTGTAAACTATCATAAATATTTAGAAAAAGTCGGCCAGGAATACTTGGTGCCATATATGATCTTGTTTTATTATGCCAAACAGAAAACAAACTTGTAAATTGTTCTTCTGCTATATGCATTTCAATTCGTTTAAAAAGAATATGAAGCTGGGTTCGTTCATTTACAGTTCTTTTAATCATGCTATTTATTGACTCAGATCGTTGTATAGATGTTATGCCTGCTGTAAAAATTTGACTAGTAAATGCTTTCGCCCAGGTTGTTTTGCGTGGATCAAGCTGTTTAAGTAGATATTCAGTTGATTGTGGAAAATCAATCATTAGTTGTTTCCAATATCTTTCAAATGCTTCTTTGTATTGAATATTTCGAGCAAGATAAAATGCCTTGAGAAAATCTGTATAACAATCACCAAGAGACTTAGAGAGCTACTTTTCGATATTACATCCAATATGCCATACACAATAAAGAAGGTAGGTATCAGGATATATTTCCGGAACAACTCCTTCAAGACCTAGATCTGCATCAATTATAAATGCACCGGGCTGAACTCCTGTAGCTTCAATTGTTTGTTGTAAAAGCCATCTATAGCTTTCACTTGTTTCATCAGACAATATACCTTGTGTGACAATTTGCGATTTAAAGTTGTTGTCAACAATAGCAAAAATGCTTAATGGTAAACAGTAAGTGTTGGTAGCTGCTGTATTGTCATTTAAGACAATATCTGCATAGCGTCGCCAAAGTTTTCGTTGTTTAGGTTTCATATAGAATACACCTTGTAGCCTATTTGTATCTGGGTCAATTAATGACTGAATATACCAGTCAGGATCCTTCATACGTTCTTCTTCAAGATGCTGGAGAAGCTTTGCAGCATCACCACTCTGCATTTCATGAGTTCGACGAAACTTATATACATAATTTTTTTACATCATAATCTACAATTGTTGCTTCAGGGAACAACCCACGAAGTAACTGAACCTGTGATGGAACATCGAGATCACAAAGCGTATAGCTTTCAATAAGTTCTTTCATCTCTGTAGTAAGTTTTCAATAGCTAGTGGCAAAACTAGCATTTTCAGGAACTAACAAATGGTTATGTTCAAGGTGCATCGATGTTAACTTAATTACAGCATTACCATTAGAATTTTTACTTTTGGACGTATTTACAAGGAAAGGGCAATTAATCCTCTTCGAACCCTTATTTCTTTGCTTTTCAAGTGGTGCAGTCTTATGTGGAACATGTTTGCCAGACCATTCACAATCCCATGTGCGTTGATGTGGATCATGGCTATTATCTACTCATTTTTTCCTAATTACAAAGTTATTTTGGCGAGCATAACGCTCTAATGTTTCTTGACATTCTTCCCATGTCTCAAAGATCTTTCCACAGTAAAGTTCAATGCGAGTTAGAGGTAAGTGACAGCTATTGATATTCTCAGAAGTACGGTTGTCACCATATGATCTAATATTAGTGTCCCTTTCAAGTTCATTATCCGATCCATTATTAGTATCCTTTTCATAATCACTTTCTGTTTCATCGTTTGAATCCTTTTCATAATCACTTTCTGTATTATTGTTTGTATAACTTTCTGTTTCATCGTTTGTATCGCTTTCTATTTCATAATTCACATTCTTTTCATATACATGTCCCTTTTAAACTCTTGAATTATTATTGTTCACAGCTCCATCAAATAAATTTTTACCTGCTATTAAGTTAAATGATAATGGCATAATGTTTTTTTATTCTATTAAAGGGTCTTCGCGCCATTAGAAAAAGTGTAATAAAAAAAACTGAAAACAATAAACAGCTTGTAGCAGCAAAAAAGAAATAGATAAGAATTGGAAGTTTCATTTGCAAAAAATTTAGGTTTTCATGTCTAAAAAGTTTATGCTCTACCTTTATTTCTTTAGTTACTGTTAATCCGATTTAAAAAAAAAAGGGTCGTTAAGAAAGATTAATGCATTAAAAAATATATTGTTCTTTCGAAGAACAAAAGTTGTACATAGAAGTTCGTTGTATGTAAGAGTAAGAGAAAGTCAGTTGTATGTAAAAGTAAGAGAAAGTTCATTAAGCATAAAAGAGAAAGTTCGTTGAGCATAAAAGAGAAAGTTTGTTGTGTGAAATTAGTGCCGTTAAATACCCATTACTTTTGACTCAAATAATAACAATAAAAAAAAAGTATAATAAATGAATACATATCATACGTAATAGATTTTATGTAATAGTGACATATTTAAATTTAACTACTTATTCTTATCACTACCTACCCGTGACACTACCACGTGCGTGCTGATTAACTTTTGTCTATTTAATAAACTATCGAATAAATAAAGCAAAAGGTGATTCACATATGAATAAGAACTGGCATTCTGGTCTAAGCTT